CGCAACATCTACAGCAGTGTACGTACATACGCATGAGCACGCACCCACGCACGCACGCACGCACGCATGAGCAACGAGACGAGCTACAAGCGCAACATCTACAGCAGTGTACGTACATACGCATGATAATGCACGCACCCACGCACGCACGCACGCACGCATGAGCAACGAGACGAGCTACAAGCGCAACATCTACAGCAGTGTACGTACATACGCATGATAATGCACGCACGCACGCACGCACGCATGAGCAACGAGACGAGCTACAAGCGCAACATCTACAGCAGTGTACATACGCATGTGCGCTCGCTCACTCACGCACGCATGCATGCACGTGCACGCAGTCATCCACTCGGTCACTCACTCACTCACTCACTCATTCACTCACGCACGCACTCACTCACTCACTCACTCACTCACTCACTCACGTGCTCGCTCGCTCTCTCACTAACTCAAGCATGCACGCACACACGCACGCACGCACGCACGGACGCACACACGCATTCTCTCGTTCACTGTCACTCATGCAGTCACGCACTCACTCGCTCACTTCAGCTGTGCTGGTTTTTATGATTAATGATGTGTGAATCTGTCATTGTCAACGATTGCTTTGATGGTGCAAGACTCCTGTCTCCACTTCTGACTAACTCTAGCAGCATTTAAGATGGTATTTTTTGAAGCATCTAAGAATAAATATTGATTTATAGTGTATAATTTATCAGGAGCGATGGGTGGCGGGGGTACCACCCTCATTCTGTGCCCTTTCTTTAATGTCTGTTGCACACATATTCATTAAGATTTTTTGCTAATTTTGGCGGCTGAGCAAGATAGTAGTAGTAGCAGTAGCAGTAGTACTGTAGTAATATAAATGTTCTTACAGTGGGTAAAAACATTGGCCACTACAGCTGCAACCCTCGCAGGCATTTGAGTGGCATCCATCAATGTTTTTAACATGGCAGCTGGCGGCCATATTTCTTCCCATCTCTGAAAAACGAGCGGTTTGCCTAGGTTTTGTATCGTAGCAATGCCAATGTTTCTATGTCTAGGAGCTCGCTATATCTACATGTAAATCTATATGTGTCTCCGTACGTAGGACATTGCCACTGTTACTTTATATAGGAGCTATAGTATATCTATATGTAAGAGATGATGTGTCATTTCTGCATGTATGAGCCTTATCTATATGAATTTTTATATGTAAGATGTATTGTTTCTATATGTAGGAGCTGCTCAAAGTGATCTACGTGGATAAAGACTTGCAGTTCATATGTGATAAGGATACCAGTGCCTCTACCACATCAAACAACAGTATGTGCTACTTTTACATCCTTTGTGTATAATCAAGTAAATGAGGCTATTATTAGTAATATCGATTGACAAAAGCAAATGATCTGTCTAAAGAATGTTGTTTAATTATTAGTTATTATCTCATCCTAAGCGTATTTCCTACATCCCGCTTCTACATCACGCTACTTATCATTCTAACGCCGTACCCTGCGTTGCAGTGACAAGCAGCAAGACTAACGACAACAACATATCTTAATATCTCATCCTACACATTCCTCCTTATTCTAACGTTGTACCCTGCGTTGCAGTGACAAGCAGCAAGACTAACGACAACAACATA